AATAGATAGAAGAAAAACGCACTGCGTGACGATCCCGGATTAATACTTATTACGAGATCGAGTAACCGTAAAAATACCGTCATAGACGTTGGTTGAATACCTACGTCACGATTAACACCCAGGAAGAGCCCGATCGTGACAATGCCACAAGTTCGCACCAACGAAACTCCTGGTGAGTGGAAAGAACGAATTTGAGCCCGTTTAATGTATTTCAGAGAAAACGATCTTTTACCAGATCAGAGTAAAAGATACCTTGAAGCTAGAAAATTAATACGATTCCCGGATGGAAGTTCATATGCGCCTGAGATTAGAATTGCTATCTGCTTCTCTTGCGATCAATTGGTATATACCGGAAAATGAACCAAGAATATTGGAAATTATAATCACATAGGAATGGAAAAACATTGGGCTTCTCATTGTATGGGAAATGCATATTGTGGAGTAAAATATAATGAATACTTATTGAAAATCGAGCAAAAATCCATTTCAAGATATGATTTCGATAATGAGTATGCATTACACAGATATGAGTTGTGGAAACAGAATGCTATCAAGAAGATTAAGCATGCAAGAGAAACAGCAAAAAAAGATTCGAGCTGTAAATATCATTAAAGAACATGTTCTTCGATTTTTTTATAGATCAGATAGTAATTTAGTAAAGAAATTAGCCATGAGATATAAAATGCATCAAGCAAAGTTAATTGGTCAAATTCGGCCGAAATAAATGTAATTATGTGAACTCAGGGACGATGATTTTTCCCGGTCAGGTAATATCACAACCATCGGGTAATATCAAGTAAATCGGGAAATCTCAAAAAGTGCTCGGGTAATTTCACGTAATTGGGGTTTTTTTCAGTATTTCGGGTAATGTCACACTACATGTGGATTACGAGCCAATAAAAATCAATGAAAATTAGCATGGTTGATTACCGAGATCAACTGCATAATTTATATGGTCAATCGAAAAAAATCGTAAGAAAACTATAAAATTAAAGGTAAATCACGTCACGTGTTAATAAACCAATCAGATTGTAAATCAAATGGGTAATATCGGGAAATACTGCATTTCAGACCGGGTAATATCACGTAATTAGCACAAGAACGCACCGGGTCACAACGGGTAATCTTTTGATAACGCACGGAAAATTGACCAATTATAAACGGGAAAAATCATCGTCCCTGTGTGAACTCGTGGTTTGTATCATATGATCGTGAGTCATTTGTTGTCTACAAAAAAAATTTTCTCATCTGAAACTCACAACGGCAACAATATTCAAGACTAAATTTCCCGCAAACTTTCCTCTGCTTACAACTAGATTTCATAAATAACAAATAATTATGTCCATCACTAATCCGTCAGCTGAGGTCGCTAAGAGGTGGAAGCGGTCAGACGTTCTTAAATATTTGAAGTCCAAGCAGGATGAGATGGATCTGGATGACGAAGATATAAAAATTATTGAGAAAAATAAGGTCGCCGGTCAAGTTTTCATTTCCTTGACAGAAGATAAGCTTTTAGCCCCTCCATATAACCTTCTCGGCGGACCAGCCGGAACCATAGCACTTTTGATCAAGGCACTTAACGGTGAAGTACAAGGTAAGTTCACGGCCGTATTTTCTCCAAATAACTTATTGTCTTACATCCCCATCTCTAGTACCGGCATCTCTCCAGGAACCAGAAACTGCTGAAGATTTTGAAAAGACGTGTATTAACGAACTCCCTCATAATCCTATCTCGACTTCTGAAGAAAATTCAGTTGGCACTCACTTGCCCGAAAATGATTTACCCGAAGCTACCCGTATCAATAAACAATCTCATGATCTCGTTAACGCTGAACATGATTTACAAATTGCCAAAGCTATTGAAAAGACTCATGATCCTATATCGATTCTGAAGAAGTTGACGCTCACTTGCCTGAGATTGCCTCTGGGCTCCTCCGTTATTATGGTAAAGATTTGCAAATATATCATTTATTAGTAAGATCCTCTTGTTTGTAAAGTATACTGTATGTCTTCATTTTTCATATTTTGGTAGAACTTTGGAATTGTCACTATACCAAATGGCCAGGCCTCAACGAATTTTCTAATCATCTACGTGATGTTAACAAAGATCGTGTTCATAATTCGTTTAAGATGGAAATAAATGTTTTGCGAAAGCTGTTTGCAGACGAACATCCAGCACAAATGCACCTTTCACAGTTGGAGGCTCAATTAAAGGTGATACTGTTTTTTATGTAAGAAAAAGAAATAGTTTGAGGACCGACAATCTACGCAGGCTGTGTGCTTGTAGGCAAGCTGTGTGCTTAGTGGGCGAGGTGCATCCTCGTTCGTATATTAGTCTAATATTTAGGCTAATTCCAGATTGATTTTCGTGTCTGATTGCATTTTAGCGAATAAAAGTTTAAGATTATAATCTTGGTGCAGGGTGTCTCCTTGTGAGGCGAGGTGCGCCCTCGTGAGATTGGATGTGTCCTTATCTCCAAAAGTGCAATCTTCCAAACTGTTTCATATGCTTTGTATTTTAATATTTTCAATAATTATTTTCACATTTGTTAATTTCAGGCGAAACAGATGCCACGAAAAATGAAAAAGACCTATAGAAGAAAAATATCGAAATTAACAAAAATGCTTGCCAAGAAAGATGTTGTAAAAGAAGAAATAGAAATCGCAAAGGTTCGAGTTTTTTAATTCTGTTATTGCTTGCGAATGCATATTAAACTCATTTATTACAAATATTTTCTAGAATTCTGTGATTGCAAAGGGATACCATCGGATAAATAAACATTATGAAGATTACCATGAGGCGAGCACTCAACTCGTTAAACGAAATTTGTCTGATGATGGAAATGAGGTGTCTCTGGCTACAAAAAGAGCGAGAACCACGAAATAACTAGTTTCTCCCCGAATCATGTGTCATTAGTTTTAGTCTGCACTCTTAACCAAATGCGTGTGGATTGTCTCCGTAGTCGCAATGTGAATAATAAATAAGTAGAACGTAATTTTTTTGCATAATGATAACGTGTCAGTAATTTGCGTGTGCCCAATCACAAATTGCATTTGAAGTTTTAATTTTACTCAATAAGACCCAATTCTCGAAGATGCTCTGGGATAACTATATATGGGTCTTCGTAATACCAGACATATCTTAAAACGATCCAGTTTTCTTCACATAATTCTTTCTTGAGTTGATCCCGTTCTTGCTGTTTAATGAAATTATTAGGGTTTCCTCTATGAAAGAATTCGACATATTTTTCGTGCTGTTGTCCTTGTACTTCGATTGCAAAACCATAATTATAATACGGAATATCAAGTTGTAATCCAGTTGAATGTTCTGGTGTTTTTAAAAAATCTGGTCTACGATTTTCAGATGGTGGTCCAAGATATTTTGATACAATTTCACGGCACAATTCTTCACGTTTATATTTGGAACAATATGGACACCAGGATCCACTATTTTTAATTTGGGAAAATGGAGCAAACCATTCGTGATTTTTAGAACAACGCCAACGTAATGGAATTTCACAATTGATATATTTTCCAGAAAGGCATTTGCCATTTTTATTATATGCATATTGCTTGACATATTCGAGAGTGTAAGGTTTTCTATGAGAACATTCTGGACACCACGATCCGCTATTTTTGATTTTACCAAATGAAGCAAACCATTCATGACCTTTAATACAGCGCCATCGCAACTTAGTGCTATTATTAATATATTTATCGGAAAGGCAATTATCATTTCTGCTTCGAGCCACTTGCCTAGCATCTTCAATTGTACAACGTGCATTTCCTGCACAATGTGGGCACCATGATCCACTATTTATAATTTGAACAAGCGAAACTGTCCATTCATGGTTTTTGGCACATCTCCATTGCAATGGCATTACAGAATTAATAAAACTATTAGAAAGACACAGGCCATTTTGACTTTTGGCAATTCTATGTGCATCATTTATAGAATATTTAACTTGAAATGGCATACCCGCACAATGTGGACACCATGTTCCTAAATATTTAATATTTTTAAACGGAGTACTCCAAATATGGTTTTGATGACATTTCCATAACATTGGACTCTTACTATTAACATATTCTGTTGAAAGGCATTGACCACGTTTAGATACTGCGATTTGTATAGCATCTTCAAGAGTAAGCTTTACATGACCTGCGCAATGTGGGCACCACGATCCATCACATTTAACTTTTTTTAGTAAAGCAGTCCATGTATGATTTTTAGAACAACACCATATTAATGGACTTTTTGCATTTTTATATTCTGTAGAAATATATATTCCACCACGAGATTTAGCAATACTATAAGCATCTTCTAACGATAATTTTCTCATTGAGACTAGATTTCTTTAACTTTTATCTTGAATTTATTATATTTAATTTATTATCGTCCCTTTGGTCTCTCTGCTTCAGAATTAGCATCGCATTATCAATTATTATGGACAATTCGAGAAGAAATGCGACAAGTTAACAATGTATAGACCGTATCGGTAAAGCAATATATATATCTATTTATCTGATTAATACATCTATTTATTATATAACCTATTCATATATATCCCGCCTTCTCGCGGTAATTGCTCGAAGTCAGATATTAAGATTATCTTTTTTATTGAGCATATATGCTCTCTTTTTCGAACATGCGCATTGAGAGGAAAAAGGAATAAACTTTATTTCGTTATCTTTCCTAAAGGAAAGCTGGTAACATTTTTTATGGCATAGCCATGAGTCTTATTGTGAAACAATGACACTTACGTGCCTAACTCTACTTTGATTTTTTTCATATCAACCTGTTTTATGGGACACAAAAATCCCTAGTGATGATAATAGATCGAGCTTGTTATTATTATGCATCTACTTAAATTTCACATCGGCTGGAGACGATCAGCTTCTTAATAGAAGTGGCTAATAAGATGTATATTATTGTATTAATAAATAATGAAAAAAATAATTATTATTTCATCATTGTGAATCACGCTCTATTGCGGAACAGGCGATGAATCGAAATTCGAGCTCTACTCTTCGAAGCTATTTATTAGAAAGATCGAGTGCTTGGTCCCATCCTTTGCAAATATAGAGTGGATCCTCTTTTGCTCTAGTTAAATCGATAACAATAAAATCTCTACCTTGCAAATTTTTATCAAGTATATCGACAACATCGCGCCATTTTTTTGTATATCGTCGGGCAATGTTAACCAGCTCATCATATGTATCACTACCATTAAAGAGAACTATATAATCGAGATTGTTTCTTATTAATTTGGGACAGTCAAAGAAAGATTGTGTTATGTATATGCTAGAAATATTACGATGCTTCCCTTCAGCAAAATAACATGCAATTTTTTTCTGGATTTTTTTAGGTTCAGTACATACATCTTCGAATATAGCTACTGTTCCTCTCTCAGGAGAAAAGTCATCAACCTTTGGCATTTTATCGGGTTTCATTGCTCGGAATGTAACATCTTTACGATATGGTTTGGGGCTATTTGCAATTATTTTATAACAATCTCGGAGATGTTTATACTTGGGCTCATTAATTTGATGACCGATCAAAACCAAATCATCATTCTTAATATATCTCGTTCTGCCTTTTTTCCCACTAAACAATCGATACATTTTATTTTCAAGTAAAAGGTTGATAACTTCGTTAGTTTTTCCTGATCTGGTTTGCTCGCTGACTAATAAGTTAAATGGCCACTGAGGCGTCGAATTAAGGCTATTGAATCTTTCTGGATTCTTGTATTCATCGATGTTTAAAACCATTCTCTCAACAGGGTCGAGCTTTTCTATTTTCATATCGATCAAGCTAAGTCACTAATTATTATATATGAAAAATAATGATCTTTATTACTATAATGTGTTAAAGACACTGAATCATTTTTTACAATGATATACCGGACTCACTATTCGCATCTGGATATCGACTGATAATATCAAGAGCAGGATTTTTATGTTGCAAGATTATAATTGCATTCATACTAATTTTCTCGCAATCCTCAATATCAAGTTTCTGGAGATTATACAAATTTGCTAATGCAGACATAGATACATCAGTAACGTCACACCCCCCAAGATAAAGCTGTTCAAGTTTTGGGCATAATTGTACTATATCGCAAATAGACTCATCAGATACGAGATGACACTAAACAAAGTTGAGATATTTAAGATTTAGGTTAGATTGCGCAATTTTTTTAACTGATATATCAGTGATCTCTTCACAGTATTTCAATTTATATTTTTGCATATTCGGGCATGCTGAAGCAATTACACATATACCTTCATCAGTTATTTTTTGGCATCCGACTAAACTTAAAATGAGAAGTTTTGGGCACGATTTGGCAATCTGTTTTAATGATGTAACGGTAATATTACTTGTCTGTAAACCAAGATATTCTAAGTGTGGGCAGTTTTGTGCAATCTTGATTATAGATATATCAGTAATATGTTTATTATAATCCAATTTTAAGCAACGCAAATTAATACATGATTAAGCAACTGTTCTCAATGATATATCAGTTATCTTAGAAGATCCAAGTTTTAGGTGTTGTAGATTTGGACACAAATTTGCGATTTTATATAAAGTTATATCCTTCATATCTTTGTATTTACCAAATCATTTTACATTAAGAGATTCCAGATTGCAAATTTGTGCGATTTTACTAATAACTCTATTGGATAAACCACGACACCCTTTGATCTTTAGATGGCATAAATTAGGACAGGATCCAGCGATCCCATATAGTGCATCATTAGAAACCTTGCATCCAGAGAGATGGAGTCAAAATAAAAATAGAGCATGTGGTTTATATTTTTCACGCATTACTTTTTTAAATTTTTTCCATCGCATACATGTATTTGTAAACTCACCGGTAAATTCAGCCTTTCTCCATAATATTGGAGCGAAACATAAATACCATAACCGGTTAACAAATAAAGTCAGGTATAATGTTTTATCTTCGGCAAGATATGAGAAAATTTCGGTTAAAAGTTCAGGCAAGGCAAGTGGATGAAGTTTATTGTATGCCATACTTATCTTATAAGTTTATTTTTTATGCGATAAATAACCTTTTTCAATAAGTACATTTTTGATAAATTCATATAAATCAGCATCATACGGTATTTCAATAAGATCTATACCATGCTCCTTGCATATATTCCGCTTTTTTTGGTCACGCGTCTGTTGACTATCTAAGTCGCCTTGATTTTTATGATATAAACTATTGCGATAAAAATGCTGGACTCCATTATACTCCCACGTCAATTTTAACTCTTCGTTATACCCGTCTAGTTGCATCCCATTCAAAAATGATGGTTTACAAGATGGGAATTTCTTACCTAACAAATCCTCAAAAATATATCGACATCTGCATTCATTAGTAGAAGAATGCGAACAAACTGAACACCATTCGAATTTCCGCTTCTGGATTTTATAAGGTGCATACCATTGATGAGTTTCACATGTCCAGAGATATACATCGTAACCATTTATTTGATTAGTTTTACCAAGACACTCTCCACCACGTTTCTCAGCATAAGCTTGCGCCTTAGCTATTTTATTAATATTACGGATGAAATTAACAGACCTGGAACGAGTATTTTCTTCCAATATACTCTGGAGCGGATACTGGAGTGTATCTATATTTACGTGCATAAGCTCTTCTTTCACAAATCCACGTGTAGGTGCAAATTCGCCATATAAATAATATAAAACTGGTTCATTTTCCGTTACTACGATTTTTCGAATTTTATGAAGGCTTGGTGAGAATGTCGGGTCCGTTGCGCGTTTCTGATTCTCCATACCTCCTTCTCACTCTGCATTAGCAAGTATATAGCGAACTGTATCACCTTTCTTCAACCTATTCTCCTCATATTTCCCAA